TCGAGGGAAGGATAAGGGAAGAATTTAAATAAATTGTAACCGGTGCACAAAAGAAAGTGAAAAGGAGAAAGAGGAGGAGGAGAAGGAGCGGAAGGACGATCGAGATCTTAACGATCAATAAAACAGGCAAATGAATGAGCGGAATGCAGGCTGCTTTATTGATTAGAAGGGAGAAGCAACGGTTACGGGGGGGTAAGGTGGTGAACTTTAGAGAATTACCCTCCAACTTGGCCACCAGACTAATTCCGCCGCTTCCACGATATCCCCCACGATCATACGTTTATGGGGTAAGTATTAAAGTCATTTTAATATGCTGTATCATCAACAGTAAGCTATTGGCATCGAAGGGTAAACTACTGCTTCCCTAGCTAATTGTATGTGCATCAACTTTGTATAGTTCTTTTTTGGATCAAAACAATTGATATCATAGTTGTTGCTCATCCCTTTTTTACTTTTTCTTGTCATAAAGTAATTACTATGCACCAACTTAAAAATACCTATATTGCTGAATATAATCTAGAGAAATTGATGTGTATCAAAATTTCAAATATTTTGTATTATTACACACTGCTTAGTTTAAATTTTATACTAATATAAGTTATGATTTAAAAGCAAAAGTATCACAAATGATAGTGCGATTTTTCAATTCAAAAAAAAAAAAAAAAAAAAAAAAAAAAAGTATTCCTTGAAAGTGGAAAAGTTTTCTTAATACCAGGATTCACGATATTAATCTTCAGACTAATATAGTGCGAAAAATTGTAATTCTACAAAGTGCACTACTCGATACTCCACACCCGAAGGTCGACAACTGTTACTAATTATGTTTAATCAATTTTTTATTGTCAATTAAAATGCAATGATTGCAGTGTACTTGTGTAGACAAGTTCTACGATACATGTACGTATAAAATGTTTATCGGTTCCATTTATATATACAAATTTTTTCTATGTTCTATCTAGTACATGCATGCATGTTTTTATCTTATTTATGTGCTGAGTAACGAGGACAAAAATAATTGACTTTATCTAATGACATAGTAACGAATTCTAGATACTTGTTTCAAAGAACATGTTTTAAATGATAGAGAAAGATGCAATTTACATAATCATATTGATTTTAAGTTTTTGTGTTTATATATACATATATATGTAATACTTATGATGTTAGACTGTCATAATTTCATTACATTCAAATTGAATAGACATTGAAATGTTGAATTGTAGTTAAAGAACTTTTTAAAGATAATACCTGAACAAAGAATAATTTCAGTGTGGTGGAGGACCTGGCAAAGCAGCATGGCAAGGATGCAGCAGACCTTCTCCCCTTCCTTTATCTCCTATGTCACCTCATGGATGCCGCGGAGATGGCTACAAGACAAAGCAATGCGAGGCTCATCGACGATGGATGAAAAGGAACAGGGTAAACAAGCATTTGTAATAATCTAAAGAAAAAATTTTTGAGTTACATACAAAACGATTAATTCATTAATATTTATTAAACGTATTAACCTTATATTACCCTTATATATTGTTTTATTTATGTGTCATGTCAAAAATTATGATTATTCTATAGCTCTATCCCTTATTTTTAGATAAGAGATGCAAGTTATTGCTATGGAAGCAGTGGAGAAGATGACGAAGAAGATGGAAGCAGTAATGCAAACCGTCGTAGAGGTGAAGTCAGTGCGGCAGTGAATACCGTACTATATGCGGGGCTGGGAACTACAGCGCTCGGATTAGTTATATCGTTTGTCGGCACTGGAGAGAAAGGATTCCTCAGTCCAGAATTGAGGCTGGTGGGTCCTTCGCTACTGTGCGCCGGTTTACTGTGTTGTCTATTTCGGGTGCTGCTCTGCCTCTGTTTATGTCGTTGCGGTCAATGCCGCTGGCGGTTTTGTCACGTTGCTTCTGACAAGAAAGAAAAAGTGAGAAAAACGGAAGCTCGACCAGCTGGAACATTGCCTACCGCCTCACTTTTATCACCAGCGCATCAACAACACCAACAGCAGCAATCGGCCGTGTCCTCGAGTGTCGCTGCATCATCATCAACAAAAGCACACGAGCTCTTGCTCTCTCCTGCCCAATTACCAGAGTGAAGAAACACACCGTTACGAACATTTTCTACAAGATTCGGATTTCGTGAGAAATCTATACGCCGATTAACTGCCGGTTCTTGTCCAATATAGAAATATCTTATCTTCATTTGACCTGAACCGTTTTCGCAACAAAGGAAAATAACAACCATCACAGCCTAATTCTAGTTTAAATGCGAATTCTAGCGCTTAAAGATGATAGTTGAATAAACAATCGGCTATGTTTTTCTACCCCTACTGTGTTTGAAAAAGTAAAAAAAAAGACGAAAAAAAAAAAGTAATTACCAGTAATCTCTGTGAACTGCCTACTGGTTTTATTTCCTTTCGCATTTCACTTTTCTTTACAAGAAAGTTTTCCAAAGTTAAATTGTCTTTGTGTTGGAGATCTTTTAAGAACATACTCCAATGTTACAATAACAGATTAGCTTACCATCGTAAACCAATTTGACAGCCTTTTACAAAACGTAATTCTGCATGCAAAAGGTACTCGCATAGTTGAGGCTCGTTTTGTAAAGTTCACATTAAATAATATGTATTTAACATTATCTTAACACATGATAATCAGGAAAGTTGGAATTGCATTTGATCGGTAGACGTGTAACTGTATATAACGGGTGTATCGGATGTGGTGGCACTCGACGCAGTTGCAGCAATAGCAAATAACTGATCTTCGTATATGGTTCCTTGTGGCTCAGTTTTTCCATTGCCTGTTGCCGTACCACTATTTGGAGGATTATCTCCTTTCGTTGCTTCTCGGTACTTTTGTAGATATACTTTCAACGGTTCTACATAATTATCAAAACCAAGAGTCGTCATAGCGAACAAAATATCTTCACCATTGATAGTCTTGCGTTTCTCCATGTGACACCTGTCACTTGCCTCAGACGTTATAAAGGATATAAATTCAGATACGCATTCTTGAACACATTCGCGTGCATCTTTCGCTATTTTCCCTGCTTCTGGTATCGCTCTCTTCATAATTTTAGCAACATTCGCTATGGGAAGAAACCGGTCCTGTTCGCGAAGAGGTCCTCCACCACTGCCACCTCCAACTCCCTGCAAGGGATCACTGGCTCCATGATTCGAGTCGTCCGTATTTTCAGGATCATCTGAATAAAAGTACAAGTATAAGTTTTTACATATCAATACGTAGAATTTATACATACAGTAGCTCAGTAAAATAAAAATTGAAAGAAGTATATTTTTCTGTTAAAAATTTGGATTTTATGACGTTCAATGTTGAGTATAAATTTTCATTTGTGTTTTCATTATGTTTTCAAAACATAGTTAACCTACCTTCCATATCGTCAGATTGTACGCTAATATACGAGGCGGAAACACCACTACCTCCAAGGAACGCAGACGGGCCTAGAGGTCCGTCGTCGCCACTTTCACCACTGTTTTCCATCTCCAGTTTGATTTACGTTAAATACACTACACAATGACCTTACTTTCCTTAACCTTGTTTATAGCTTTGTTTTCACAGTACTTAATGTATTTTCGACATAGACAAGTTTTTACTAGATGTCAGTAACACATGTAGTATTTTAGTACAAGCATCTTCACGACGAACGAACATTATAATTGTAACTATTTCAAATTAAAAAAAAAATTTTCTATGTATAAATATATGTATTATATTATCTTTTTTTTTTACATAAAACGTTTCATTTATAGCTATTATGTATAATGAGATACAAAAAATAAATAGAAATAAACTAACCATTAAGGCAGATCCGTAAGTAATGTAAAGAATTAAAATGCCATGTACAAAGGGAATTATTGTTTGAAATTCAATAAATTGGCGAAAAAGAATTGTATAGCTAGTTTTAATGTTACAGCTCACTACAAAGGAGAGATTTTAATTTTTAAGATCATGATTGATCTGATCATGAAAAAAAATTGTTCAATGATGGAAAAACTTCTCTTTGGCAAAATGTTTGAATTTTTACAATTTTTGAGAAGAAAAGTAAGTAATATAAAGACTTTTTACTTTAATACTTGCTGCATGATGTAAAAATAAATATCTTTGAACGAAACAAATTCAAGATTGTTAAAATGGAGACAAATTCAAGATTGTTAAAATGGAGACTCTTTATAATAAAATTAATTGTTCTACAACTTTTTTTAACGAAATTATAACGAGTTTAAGCTATCGATAATTTTTCGAGTGTATGAATATTTTCGTTCCTTTTTAAGAATTCCTCATGAATTTTGTGTGTTTGATTTAGACCAGAATTTTTTACTTTTTATTCCCAGTTAATTTCGTACGAAATGCGCGCGTGGGTTCAAATTGGATTTAAATTAAAAATTACTGTGTCAACGATGAAATAAGCAATATCACAGACGAGGTATATTCAAATGTTCCATGTTTCAAGTAAATAATCTTGTTTAATTTATCTAAATTCATTCAAATAATTAACTTAATAAATTATTTAATGAACACAATTTCAAAATTGCACATTTTATTACTTTAAAAGACTCAGTAGTACGAATAAGAGATTTATTATTTGAAAACACCAAATTCTATGACGAATTTAAAAATTCGCGCCAGAAATATTAGAACGGATTTGTGACTACATTCGTAGCATATGAAGGCGGATATGCAATTCTCATAAATGTTTCGAATAGAACAATATTAATCACAGTTTTGTTGTGTGTGTATAAATGTGCAGCAAGTAGTTTATTTAAAGTTGTTGATATGGCTATGTCTAGTATTTTATTAATGCGAAAAGGTCTTTCAATAAATGGTAAGGAAGTTTTTTTGTATTTGCAACATATGCCAATCACAATTCATACGTACATCATTTTTATCTTGACGTTTGTTGCCAAAATTTTGAATTAGATTATACAATTTTTATGAAAAATATTAGAAGAATTGTGCAATACGCGTGATGGTTGCATTTGTTTACGTAATTTTGTTACTATATGTTTTTCATTGAAGTGTATTACGTATTTGTTTATAGTATAGTACGAATACATAAGCAAAGTGTAATGTTTCCTAGTATTACTACAGTTCAATTTCATTTTGTACATCTTCAAATAATGCTATGATTTTCTGTGTTCATTAATCCTTTGTTCATTCATGAAGATTGAAATGTTGAATGTGTTAAGAAAGGAGGTTATGTTTGAATTCTATTTTATGAATGTATTTACATGATAAGTTATAAAAAAAAAAAATGATAGAACATCAGGAAGGCCTTGCAAAGAAATTCATTAAAGAATTAACGGACAATTTAAAAGGAAAGAGATTTAAAGAAGTCCTAAGCTTTTTTGAAAATAACAATTATGATGAGATCATAAGAGAATCCTCGTGGGATATTGTATCAACAGTATCGTCTTACGTTACTACAGAAAATTTGAAATGCAATGGAGACTTGGTTGAATGTTGTACAGCAATATTAAATACTATAGTAGAAAAATGTAATCCTTCCGAAACGGTGTTAGAACTATTGGAGCAAGTGGAAGATCCAGAAGACGATATAAAATTTTCTATAATTTTAAGTGTACTTAGCAAATGTCTTTCTAAAATGGACAAAAAGATGAGAGCCATAGAATGGTGTATCAGTACGCTAAGATCTTATATTGAAAGTCTACCAATACCAGAGAAAGATTCTCAAGATAATATTGTCATTATAAATAAAATAAAAAATGTTTATAATGCAGTTATATTATTTTTAGAACCATTAATAAATGAATCAAGATTAGAAAATGCAGGGAAATGTACTATATTAAGAGATTATCTTGCTAGCATTTTAATCTTTCTCATGGGAAAACCATTGTTTTATTTTCAAGAAGCAGAACTAGAATCATGTTTAAATCAATCATTACCTGAGAAAATTGTAATACTTGTAAGTCATGTAACTGGTGACTTGCTTTCATTTTTAAACATTGCAAGTACAAGAAGTAGGGAAAACAAATCCAAGAAGAAGAATATAGATGAGGAGAATATTGATCTAAAAGTAACACTTTTTGAATTGGACGAGAACATATCAGATTTGGCATATGCTAATTTCTACTTTTATGTTATAACAAAACTGCATCTGTGGGAAAAAGTACCACAGATATATGATTGGCAATATATCTTTGAGACAAGCATATATCTTATTGTTAAATTACTACAAGAACAAGAAAGCATTGCTAAAGGTTTAAATCTTTTGGAACATCTTTTGATAAGATTAACAAGACATTCTTTAACATTACAATCATTACAGTTGAATATATACTTTGAATTATTCAATGCACTTGTGAAAGTAATGATTTATTCCAATAGCGTTCAAGAAAGAAAAAAAGCTTTGAATTTATTTCAAAACTATATTGAAATATTTGACATACAAGCTAGATACTCTATTATTTTGTATTTATATCAAACTAGCGAACATTCAGGTTTACTGAGTTTAACTACTGGAATATTTAAAACTTCTATCATTGAATGTCTTCAAGCATCACCTCCTGTACCATATTTTTTTGGTAATAATCTAGAAATTTTAATTAACCTAGCTTGTAAATTACCCCATGGTAGTGCATCAGATTTAGTGGAATTATCTGACGAAATAATCACAAGCTTGAATCTGTTAAGATTTTTATTTATAAGGGATGAGGGAAATCAAACTGGTATTTGGAACTTAGTAGATAAACTTCAACATGAGTATTTAAAACCACTGAGAGAAGGAATAGATCTCTGTAAGGCGCATTGGAAAGTAAAAATAAAAGATTTGGAAGAGCAAAAGAAAACATATAAAATATTTGAAAATATAGAACTAGAAAAAAGTGATGCTGAGATAACATTAACCGTCGGTGATGAAAAATTACCAGCAATGCCAATTCCAGAAAAGATTACATTTTGTTATCAAGCAATAAATGGTCTCGATGTGATGGAAAGTGTTTTGATTAGAGTCAATGAATGTATTGCTAATAATTCTTTCAGACAAAATACCAATAAAACAGTATCTTCAGAATAAAAACTGTACATTTATGTAATGTATATAATTCACTGTTGAATAAAATCATTCCTCATTTATATTTCATGTATTTTGATTATATCCTACTATTTATTATTGATAATCACATTTTTTTGAATAAAGAAAAAAAACTAAAAACAAATTTTAATTTTAATAGGTTTTAGACGTTTATGGACTTGTAGAGTTTTACTCACAAATCAACTCGAAAATGATCAACAGCAATCAAGTCAAGAACACGATGGTAAAGAAAACGATGAGGAATATGAGAAGAACATCAAAATGAAAATTCTTGCTGCATCTTTAAAATATGTTCATGATCTTGGATGGAGCCAGCAAGCCATCAGTGCTGGTAATTTGTAATAATTTTTAAGTAGATGAGTCAAGATCAATCATTTGTGTGAGTGAATAAATATATTTTCACTGTATTATAGACGTAATATATTAATTAGTTGCTTTCAATTTTAATTTAAAAATAAAACTTTCATATTGTTAATATATAAAATAGACAAATAAAAATATTTAATGAAAAGTTATGTACCCAAGGTGCTGAATCTATTGGATACCCTGGGATAATTCATGGATTATTCCCTAATCGAGGAGCAGATTTGGTTCATTACTTCTACTTAACGTGCAACAAAGAATTGAATAAAATACTTGAGGAACAAGCTCTTGCTGTTGAACAGAGTCCTACTAAAAAGAAAAAAACATTAGAATTACAAGTACGCGATGCTGTTGAGACAAGATTGAGAATGGTGATCCCATATAAAAAAACATGGCCACAAGCTTTAGCCCTTATGGCTTTACCACCTAATGTACCATTGTCATTAGCTAATTTACTTACTTTAGTGGACGATATTTGCTATTATGCTGGCGACAAATCAGTTGACGTAAGAATGATAAATATATTTTTATACAGTATATAAAAATAAATTTACAATTTATTAATAAGTTAGTAAGTTATATTAAAATTTTTTTTGAACCAGATAAACTGGTACACTAGAAGGATAGTATTAGCAGGTATTTATAAAACCACTGAATTGTATATGTTACAAGATAATAGTGAAGATCATCAGAAAACTTGGAATTTCTTGGAAAGACGAATAAAAGATGCAACACAAATTCATACAATTCTAACAACAACTTCTGATATGGCATTACCAGATTTAAATCGTGCTACTGAAACAGCGTATGCTGCTTTTGTTACAGTAAGTTTTTTTAAAGTTTAAATTGTTTTGTAAAATACTTAAACTATATATTTTCATTTCCAATAGGCACGCAATATACTTGGACTGAATTGGAATAGATAGGAAAAAAATAAAAATCAATGTGTAGATCACTAAATAGAGGGAAGTATGAAACATTTTTTTGTGAATTTATTTGTTACAAATGAAAGCGTAAATAGTTTATACAATAGTATTCAAGTAATAATAATAATATTTAAGAAAGAATAACATTAAGACCAATTAACAAATGGCTAATTTATTTTAGTATTATATTTTAACAAAATCTGTACATTTGAGGTCAAATTTAATAAATGTTATTTATTTTATGCATATAAATGTATAAACTGTTAGAAATATAGATTTAACAATTACCCTGCAATATTATCATGATTAATGTAATATAATTTTCTGTTTCATATAAAATTATGTTACATCTCTCATATTAAACAAGAGATCAACTTCTGTTCTTACTATTGAATTGAGCAGGAGATTATTTTTATTATGAAGAATGTATTTACAAAGAGAAACGAAGATACACACCACACAGCCAAGTAACTCACAAGTCAACTTCAAATCAGTTGAAAGATATAACGTATTTCATAGAAAAGAGAAAATAGTATATCTTTCAACTTGTATCAATTTTTATAAAATTGAAGATATCTCACAATCTTAACAATGAGCATTTTAATTCTTATTAAAAGACACTTGTATCTAATCGTGCCTCGCGAAAATTTTTTCAAAAGAAGCTATTGCTATACAATGTAAAGCACTGAATTTTTCCAAAGACCAATTAATAATTAATAATGCGCTTCTTCAATATAACCTTTGATAGTTTTCGGTAAAGGCAGTTTATGAATATTGTCTAATCTTGTATATTGACGTATGACAAAACGACAAAGATATTGTAAACTTCGGACTTGAGTAAACCTACTTACTGGCTTTGTTAATCTAACTGGAAAAGACGGATGACCAGGATACTTAGGTCGTGAGTAACAAAAGACACCTGATTGGCTAAAATTCATTGAATAGTTAATTAAATCAGCCACCGAACTAAACCCTTCGCTTTCACTTTGGTTGCACAAAGAAAATAAACCGCCAGTATGTTCCATACGAGCATGAAGTAGTTTGCCAGATGATTTAAAGCTAAGTGTCAGGACATATCTATAGAAAAATAAACATTAAGAATATATAATACGAGTTGTATTTTTAATATTTCTAACAAAAAGAGAAGTAAAAGGGAAAAAAAAACAAACCTATCGTCTGAGGAGTCCCTAACTAAGAATGCACCATCTGGTTCAGATAGAAGTTTAGCATCAGCTTCGTTTCCTGATATTGGTCCCCAATACCATCCATAGTTACTTAATTTCAGCAATTCCTCTGTAAGACTTGCTTTTATTTTATTATCGTTACTTCTATTAATCTCTGTATTTTCATTAGTTCTTTCAATTTGATGTTTTATTACATTATTTTCTATTGTTGATCTAGATCCTGACTCATTATCTGAGGACTGGTATATATTAGAAACATTTTCCTGATTAACATCTGTGTTGAACTTATTAATAATTTGTGTGTTAATTGTGTCTAGTTTCTCTTCGGTGTTACTACAGCTACTTATGGTTCTATTTAAACTTTGTGAAATATATTTGCTCCGAGATACATTCAGAGCCAAGATTTCACTGCTATACTGATCATCGCAATTCTTATCGGTCTTTTTGTATTTTGACTCGAACACGTTATTGTCTCTCACAGAAATCGTAGATGCATCCTTTTGAATCATCAGATCATAGTTTGTTTCATTTTGTATGCCAGACGCTTCAACCTCCTTTGTCTGCAAGAAACAAAGATCTTTCTACACAACGAAACAAAGATCTTTTCCATGAAACATTTTATACACTTACCTTTCGCTTGGATTTGTGCGTCAACTTCTTCACCTGAATATGTCTTTTGATGTTCTTGAAGAAGTCGAACGACGTTCTAGTGGCGAGATTATTCCTCGCTTTACTCTCGACGATTTTAACTTCTGTCAGATCCTCTTTTTTCCTTTGATATCCTTGCTTCTTCGATGCGTTCTCACGTCGTGAATCGCGCCACCAAAGAAAATCAAATGTCCTGCCGTTCAACTTGCGCGGCCTCCAATTTCCTTTCGGCGTTCTCGCCACAGATGCTGGTGCAATCGTGACGAACTCCTCTGACGTTTGATTTATCATATTCAAATACCGTACAACACTTCAAACTGGCTCCAAATCGAAGGAAGGGCTCGCTCCCGTTATCTTATCGAAAATTATTTCAGACGCCATCTATTTCTTAACTCTTTTTCTCTTCTCACGATAATAAACTTCCCTCCTCGAAATCTCGCCGAGGAACTCCCGTTTGACAATCGTTCTCCGATATTATTCTCGCGTCAACGCGAGACAAATGCAGTTAACCCGAGACTGTTGCTTTTGTGTAGTTTCGCAAATTTCCTCCAAATTATTCCCTACCGTCTGGAAAAGATATGTTTCTCCACTAACTTCACCGAAAAAATTCCTATCCGTCCGTGCAGTTCTCGGTTAGAGTATCACTTAAACCTTTGAACTTAACAGAATTAATTTGTTTTTAGTGTAAAAAAGCTGACTATAATCTATTCCGCAAGTCGAGTTAGGAAAAGTGAATTACACCGTGTGAATAAATCTTTTGACAAAATACAATCAAAATCGTGATCGTGAAATTATGATGCAGAAAGTGAAGTTTTTTTAATTTTTTATTTTTTAAAAGTATCTGACTCAAATTAAATAAATATATTATGTTTTTTAACAATGATACGAATTATTCTTAAAAACTATAGATTGTTAGTAAGTAGACTAGTAACTAGAATACCACGTGATCAATAGTATTTATTTCCCTTGATTTGACTCGTTGAACAGAGTTGAACAGAGAACAATTATTGGTTGATTTAACAACATACATTTTATTTTATTACAAATGTAGTTTGTTTCAAATGCATTCTTCTAAAGTAGGACATAAAATTCATTGAGACTAAAAGGAAAAAATAGTTTTGTTATTGTTATGTGTTATTTAACCTCAAATGTGTTGCTCTTGATAGTTAAGTAGATTACACGTATAAACAAAGAATAATTTTTCTTCTATCGTTAAATGTTAAACACTGACTATTAAATATTTAAAAAAATGAGCGACTCCGAAGATGAAAATTATGTTACTTTTGGAGTTCCTCTTGAACCAATAGATGAAGGTAAATAAAGAAAAATATTAGGAAATGTAACTATAAAAATGATATATTTTTATTTGTACACTTTACAGATAATGTACCAAGGAAGAAACCAATGACAATTGAAGATCAATATGCATATGATGCACAAGGTAGACGAAGATTTCATGGTGCATTTACAGGTGGTTTCTCTGCTGGATATTTTAATACTGTTGGTACAAGAGATGGCTGGAGACCTCAACAATTTAAGTCGTCAAGAAGTAGTAAAGCAGGAAGTATTACTCAGCGTCCGGAAGATTTTATGGATGAGGAAGATACAAGTGAGTTCGGAATTGCACCAACTGGTATTCGGGCTAGTGAAAATTACGTAAATTCTGGTCAAAGAGGTACAAAACGTGAAAGAATTACTCGTGACAACAACAATCCTATTCCTGGTACTCCAGTTTTAAAGGATCTTTTGAAACCTGTGAAGTATGTATTTATATAAAAATTGAAATTGAATAATTTTAACTTTAGATCAGTGTCAATAATAGTAAATGTTTGATATAATAGAGAAACAGTTGGTATTATGTTATTAAAAAAAATGGGATGGAGACCAGGTCAAGGTGTAGGATCAAGACTTACGAAAAAGCAGAAAGCTAAAATTAAAAGAAGAAACGAAAGGATGAAAGATATGGAGCAAGGATCTAGAAAGCCAAACTTAGAAAATAGCTCTGAAGATTCAGAGGATGACTATGAGAATGTCACGTTTGCACCTGATGACTACGAACCATTTAGGTAAATTGAAAATGTTGTGTATATAATTTTGATAAGCAAAGATATGTTATCTTCAATTTTTTTTTTTTTTT